TTTTACGGATTCCCGAACAATTGAACATGATATCTGCTGTCCCACACTCCCATTTGGCTCCTAACTTAAACGCTATATATCGTGTCCGTGACCGAATAGCGGTTTTGGTTCAACTTGGGCACCGTAAAGATGGTGGGTATGTAAGTTTATTTTGAGTCGGTAAAATCCTTGGAACTCCAACTCCTCAGGGGACACATTAACAATCAAAACTTAAGTTCCGAAAATGTAAAATCGCGAGCGAAGGCCAGTTCGGAGAAACCTCACATAGGTAATCCCTTATAAGGTCTGTGGTTTGATTGAGTTGCCGATTACTTGAGGAGATTTTGGGTTGTAGCACTAATTATTGTATTGAATAATTTTCTATATAGTTAGGGCCTTGATTGGTATCAGTTCCGGGTGTATTCAGTTCCAGACGCATTATCGTGACACAAAATCATTAGAACTAAGCTGCCTATATCCCTACGAGAAACACTCGTGTACGACATTTTTGGTTACATTCACACAAATCATGAGGGGCTCAACCGAAATAAGAGTGCGTTTAGCTGTAACGGAATTCCACCAGAATGAGGTGTTATTTTCCGCCTTGAATTATATCATTAGGTGGACAGGAAACGAAATATAAAGGTCATGCAATTTTCTAGGAAACCGAGTTTGAAGGCCGTCAAAAACCGTTGGGGTGTTGTTAAATGTCACACTATTCGCGTCTTGTCAGACACTGTTTCCCAATTGCGGTCCATTGGTTATTTGTATGCAGTATAGCTGAACGTGCAAATACCGGTTAATAGGGGGTTTTTCGTTGTGCAGCCAAACTGTACGTGACAACAACATGTAGGTTCGGTTCCGCGCGTCACAAAATATTGGCCTATTCGAGCAGCGCTTGTACTGTATTTTTTGGAATTTAAAGACTTACGTCACTCGGTACTGCCAAGGAGAGAATGACTTTAAAAGTCAATCGAGGCCAACATGGCTGATGGCATATCCGCAAAGCGTTGTGATGTGGGCGCCGAACTTAACTGAGAAGTACAGAGCCAACAAGTTGCAGATGCATTTTCGTCCTAGTCCACCTGGACTAGGAAGGTGGACTGATGCACATATCATACTCGGTTTATTATGCTCCAAGACCCATAAGGTAAACGCAGGCACTGGCTGCTGACGCTGGGTCAAAGTAGGTTGCTCTTGTTACTCAGCGAGGTCTTTCCCTAAATTCGCTACTCCTGGGCGCTCGATTCGGCACACTGCTAAATCTTCGTCGTAAAATATGGATGCAGTTCGTCACCACTAGTCCATGGAGGGAGACGGTTGTGTTTTTAGCATACAGTTGCCCGCACGATGTACGTGAAGTTTAATACTATATGTATATTTGCAATACCGGACAGTTCGTGCGAGGTCCTTGCTTTGGTATGGGGCTTTTGGCAAAATGGTTTATCACACGAGGTCGTACTACACAGTCTAATCTCCTCGCAGATTGTTGAACCACTCGGCCAGCACAGCAATGCATATACGGAAGAAAACAGGCCAAGCTAAAGCCACATTAAGTCTCGGCAGTCAAATTACCGTTAATCTATCTATGACCAGTACACAATTTCTGAAACTATCCGCGATGAAGTTGTTGGCTTAGAGTCAATGTTCGCCTTTTTTGGCCTGTTTTATCTTTCTCAAATGCTTCTTTAATCTTCGAACTTACATGACCACCGTAAGCACCGCGTGGCTTCATTGAGAGTGCGGCTATGGTCTCTTTTACGTCTCCTCCTTCAAGAGTCGATTTATTGGTATGTGAGATATACGTTTCCTGAGACTGACTAATTAAGGTGAATATTGTGAATACGGTCTTGTTATATCAACTATAAGTGCACACCACAGAGTTGCACTAATTGCGCACCTTTATCTTAGGAGCGAGTGTGTTCCGACATGCAAATGAGAAAAACCTAGCGTACCGACTTGACTTAATTTTCCGTCTGTGCAATTTAGCGTACTGCGTTGTCCTGTCCTCACTGCGCCCTTCAGTGCTTAGTCACTTACTCAACCCCCACAACACACTCACTGGTTGCTTTTCACGGTACTGCAGAGCGCAAGTACAGCCGCCTTATTCCATCGCTTCAACAAGTCGAGTAGTTTTCTCGAATACTCACCCCCACATAATGAGACTCTTTAACCCATTGACGTAATACACTACTCACGAGGTTGCTGAAAACCCTTAGACAGCTCACCACCAGTTGCGCCCTTCATGTGACACATTATGTAAGTGCAGCTCCAGAATTAATGTCAAACCGCAAAACAATGGTACGCCAAGGTGTACACAGAGCGGCAAATTCAACTAAAGAAGACCACTGTAAATGAGCGATTTGGCTATATTCATTTGGTTCCATCGGCACAGATAAGGTGGTGTGCAAAAGTGCGTACTCCTAGAATTTTGTTCAATTTCGAATTTCGAGTGGAACATAAGGTTTGCGAAAGTTTGACGACTTCATTCACTTGATAATGCCAAAGAATTGTTAAATCAGTCATGCACTGTCGGAGTGTTTTTCGCAACCTTATGAGTAGTTTTTAACACCTATACAATGTATTTCAGCATCCCTAATATTGTACCAAGTGGGACATGATCTCATCTGACGCAGAACGTTCGGCTGAAAAACAATATCACAAACCAGAGACTCAGCTGGGTGTCTGCCAATAAAACCGAAGTGTTGTGCAAATGAGTGTAATTGTAGAAGATTCTGTGCAGTTATTTTCAAACTGTTTTGTAGACCACGTTATCGCTTCGTGACTTTTAGCCCGTTTTTTGTGTAAAGAAAGATGACAGTGCGGCTCCACCGTTCATAATAATTAGCCTTCTGAAGATTCAAAGTAAACGGTTAACTCTGAGGTTGGTGTTGGTGCTCAATAAACTCATGGAATTATCCATACTGTCGAAAAGCTGTTGGACTTTAGATCTCCAATCTTAATGCTGGTAGCTGCATCTGATTTTAGGTGCGGCACGCAGTCATATGGTGCTCGTAACTCTAATATCGGCAGAGTTAACATTGTGGCAAACCTCAAGGAGTTCGAACGGCACAGATCTTCTGTCCCCCACAGACTCCTGTTAGTTGATTGTGTCCCGGTGAGTATGGAGTTTGCTGGTCTCACGGTCAATTGAGATTATGTTGGCATGTGTCCACTAGGGCAGAGAAACACACAATGGCCTGCGAGGAAGTCCGCCTGCCTAGATTTTTTAGAAGCCCAACATCGAACGGTCCTTGAAGATACTACTTTGAAGTCAGATAAAATGGTCCACGACGTATGGAATCAGTTGGATAAGTACCAGCATGTGGTCTGTAGTGCATTCAGCCCAGCGCATCACTATTTTGTTGAGCATATTACCTAGATTATTTTCCGCGTAATAATGTGGCCAATCATTGTTTTGTCCCCACTCCTCAGATGAGTCCACATTACACGCGACCTCCGCCCCATATTGAAACATATGTCTGTTAATGCGTGCCTCAATGGTCCAGTAACGGAAAAAGCAACCTTTTTAAGCTTTATTTTAATCTTTGCCACAGCGCTTACTTAACTTTCCCAGCATAACCAAATTTTCAAACTTACACAAAAAGGTCTACCGTGATAACTTTGGGGCATATAACGCCAGATTGTGGGACAGATAACTAATATGCGTGCGTGCATTATCTTTATGCGAACACGCTTGAGACGATTGATGAGACCGTATCGCGCATGAGCTAAATGTACCGCTAGCCGTTTTCGGTAACCCAACTTTGGTATAGGATGTGTTACTGCCTTCTAGTAATGTGGAACCAGTTTAGGGATACATGAACTTGCGCATCGCTGGACCAATTTCATCAATAGAGGTCATTCAGGTCTCTAAAATTAAAGTTTTCTGTGTGCTAATTGAGAGACTAACGGTAAGGAATACTTCAAAATTTGAGTTACCAAATGACCGTCATTCCTGTGTTTGACTGACAATGTGCTTCATGAAATTTCTCTTGAGTGGGGATAGAAAACCGTGGTCTCTGGGAAGCTATAATATCAACTTTGCTATTGTATTACCACACTGCGTTATATCTTGAATTTTATTCAATGTGCACTATCATTCCAACATAATTTTCAGAGACCTTGCTTGCTAGCAAGCCTGAACCTGGCCGGTGGTCATAAAGTGAAAACGTCGTTTCTCCAATATTACAAGCGGATCCACGGACATAATGAATACCTGATTTACCTGTTCGGATTAGCAGACTGAGTTGGTTGGATGTGTGACCAATCAACTACTAACCAACTCGATGAGTAATCAACAAAACATAGAGATGAATCCGGCGGACCCACAATCTGGTGTTAATACTCAAAGATCAAGGTCCACTATACATTGTAATATATTTCGCATGTATATCTGGATCCTGTAATCTTGTCCACACCGTTTGTTCTCGCCAAAACTTGATCCATCACAATAAGGTCAGCTGAACGAAGTTCGCAGTCAAATATCCGTACTACCGATAGAAAGCAATCAGCCAAGTGATAATGAGTCACTACCCGCTAGTGATGGTGTTCTGAATTGGGCGGAAATGAAACTGAACGAACTGGCCAGTTCATTCACGCATACCTGTCTGTCGGAACCTGTGGGTGGGTGAAAAAATTAGCAAAACACGTAGGGTAGTTGGAAAGTGGGTCATGGCTCCATAAACCAACAGTGGATAAAACGTTTGAAAATCAAACAAACTCTTGATGATGCAATGAAGTGGTACCTTATTACTGAGTTTAGCAGGGACAATTTTTCTCTTTGCAAATAGTTTATTAGGGTTTGAGGCAAAAGAACGATTAGGCTGCAAAGTAAGTAGGTTTTCTTAAATTTACCAAAATATTCTTATTTGTAATTCCATGGTTTGAGAGTCCGCTCAATGCTTTGATATTTACATGGCGTCTGAGATGGATCAAATATATTCAATTTTGGTTTTTCACTGAAGTTAACGAATTTATCCAGTTGACGAATTTATTATATTGTTCCTATTTTTGTTCAGGTGTGGGTTCAGACAGGTAAAGTACTGGACTATCTACGGACGGACTACATAGAGGCAATTGAGGGGATCAAATCCAGGCTGATACAATATTCCAAACCAAACCGTCTTCTTTTTATTGGAGAAATTGACGCCGACGGAACCTTTTTGCCTAGAATGGTATGTTGTGCGCAAACTGATCTATGATGCTAAGACGCGTTAGTCAAAATATTGCAAGGTTGGTTTGTTGTAAAACTTGAACTGAAGCCTGAAAAGAACACACGTGCAATGGATAGCATGCAACAAAAGTGCACAGTACTTTTCTGCTTCCCTACATAGCATAGATTTACAGTAGAACTCAGACAGAATCCGAGTTGGTGATGGCTTGGGGAGATTGAGAAATATTCTTTCGAGTGCAACCAGTCTATGCTAATAACCCGAGAAGCATTACTGCGCATCCCACAAAATCCAGGTGATTTCGAACCAGTGATCTCCCGGCTAGTATTCTGAATGCCTAGACCCTCGGTCACAAGAGGCTTATCAGAAATGTGATTAACTTGCAATTAAACAGAATACAAACCAATTTGGTTTTCACGGGAGACTCAATTAAATCTCTCATGGGAGATTGAAAATATTCTTTCGAGTGCAACCAGTCTATGCTAAAAACCCGAGAAGCATTACTGCGCATCCCACAAAATCCAGGTGATTTCGAACCAGTGATCTCCCGGCTAGTATTCTGAATGCCTAGACCCTCGGTCACAAGAGGCTTATCAAAAGTGTGATTAACTTGCAATTAAACAGAATACAAACCAATTTGGTTTTCACGGGAGACTCAATTAAATCTCTCATTTATGCTGTCCTCTAACTGAATGTGCTGCACACAGGCCGCCTCATGATTCAGTTGGCAAGATATTCGAGATATCGCAGTATATTTTCATAAGGAAAACTACCCACAAGTTCGCTGAAAACTCTTCGAGAGCGCGCGACCGGTTTCGCCCTTATTGGGGACCATCAGGTATGTTCAAGTAGCTCATAAAGTTGACAGAAACTCGGGGACTGCACCTACCTGGTGAACCCCAAGAAGGGCGAAACCGGTCGCGCGCTGTCAAAGAGTTTTCAGCAACCTTGTGAGTAGTTTCCTTTATGAGAATACAAACCCACTCAAGCTACAACTACGAGATATGAATCATGTGGCCACGTGTTGAGTGAATCCGCTGGTGCCAACTTTTTACCGACCTTGTGAAATTTTCCTCTGGACTACCTGCAGTTTGATGAGATATGGGGATTTTCAGTTGAGACGTCGCATTTCGGCTTTTCAGCAGAGATAAAATTTACTTACATTACGAAACCCCACTTGCATGGTGTGTTGTCAAGGAAATAAAACACAGACAAATAGGTGATTAATAACTGGGTAGTCCTTGGTTCGCAAAGTTTTGGTGGGGGTTCGCTCGAGAATGTTAGCTGTTTTACCGGCTCTCGGCTCCATAAAGTGATAACTTGTTAATCGTTCCAGTCTTGGCGATATTCGATAAGTGACACACTGATGAGCATCATATGAATCAGCAGAGTTTCGCGAGTGTATTCCGCTTTTTTGTTGCATATGTGTGCAGGACATTCTGGACTCCGATGTTGTGCTATCAGACGGCTAAGATAGTCACAATTATCGATTTAAGGTGTGCCCAAGTATCAACGTTTACGTCTGTGTCACGTTTGTACTTCGTTTCAGTAACATATGAAGACTTCTCTGTCCTGAAAGCAATAAGTGTCCTACTGAATAAAATTTATCCACAATATGGCTTGCAATTTCACCACCTCGTCTTACATTCACATTAATTTGTTTACATGGATTTCTGCTCCATATTTCTACATGTATGGTTGACCGGAGTATAGTACACAAAATGTACTTTAGCAGGCAGCCACAAGAAGTATTAGCTTGCCGAAAATTTGCGGTTTTTGGTGCAAATGATGTTTGGTAACCTGGCGGACGTACATCTCTCAGATGCTAAGCAAGCTCAATAGATTGCACTTTCAATACCGTTCGCACAATACCAAAAAGCCTACCAATTAATTTTCGTTATCTCCGCTTATCTCAGTTGCTAAGAACCAAACACGTCTGAATTAATGTGACCTCTTGTGTAACCAGTCGTTAAATTAGTCACTATTCACGCGTCTCCTTTTACTGGTACAATTTTTTCGCACCAGTTTTTCGCATTTTTTTCGGGACAAAAGCAAGCCATGCGTATACGGTATTGTCTTTATCTGCCAAACTTTTCATAAAGGCTTCACTCTACCGAAACACTCCAGCTGGCAGTGCCGGGATAAAAAATGTCCGACGGCTAACTTAAGTCATATATTGATAGAATAGCTGCAAAAATTTAATTAAGCTTGCAAACTCTCTTAGGTTTACTCACACAGTTGGAACTTGAGCAAGGATGGTACCCTCTTTCCACAAATAGACAAATATTGGAAGCGAGTAATAGTATTCTGCGTACGGAAAATTGCATCACAAGTGAACCCACGCAAAATATTTGTAAAGAAAATGTGAATGGATCACTCGCAGCTTTTTGCGAAGTCCCACAAATGTTTCCAAAACTATTTTTAAAAAGACCGCTAAATTTGTTCGATTTTTCACGATATTATTTCACTTGAATTTTGAGCTTTCAAAAATTTTCTATGGCAAACATTTTTATCATACGTCAAACGTTCATGTTCTTACGGACGAATGCAGTGATATCATTTCGTTGCTTTTAGCTGGACAATTCACCTGTTCCTAGTGTGACTCAAACGCAGAACAGATCGAGGAAGTTTTTGTACACGCCTTACGCTAACAGTGAGACTTAACAAGTCTGGCAAATTCACTGAGCTCTACAGCCGATCGGATGCATGACAAGTTGCCTCTTTCTACATTATTTGTACGCCTTGTTCAGCATTTGAATACCTGTGAATACTAGCCTTCAATGCCTGTTGGGGTGTTAGTTCGCAGTTATCGAATACGCAGACGGCATAGCGTGCTAACACAAGTAATGTTAAATAATCTAAACAATGGTACATCACGGTTTTGCTTCATACCTGCGAAGTATAAAGTGCTGCTACAAGACAATATAGGCGCGAACCTCAACCTCATGCTTGTGGATGAGCCCACTACGATAGTAGAGAAATGTGTCTATCAAAGCAGCTCTACCAGTACTGGTGGTCTCACCAAAGGCGATCTTTTCTTCCAAACTAGGAAAACCAAAGCAGCTTTCTTGAACCTGCATCACCAGCAGCGTAGGAGTGGCATCAGATTATTCGTCAAAGATCGAGTCTACAATGCTGCCGTGTGCCCCCGTATTATTGTGTAGATTAGAAACCTGGCCGTTACGTGCGGAGGACGCCAAAGGTCTTCAGTCTTTGATCACCGGTGTTTTTGGAGCGTTGCCCGAGTCTAGTGGGAACACCGGATGAGTAAATCTGAAGTACGTCAAATGCCCTTCGGGAAATATAACTCGCACACAATAGATGAACCGATCACACTCCACAGGTTGCGCTGGGTTGGCCATATAATTCGTATGCAAGTATTGCGGCTTCCTCAAAGAGCTCCCTCCGCACAACCGCGCAGAGTGAAAAGGAGCCAGAGGAGCTCAAAAAGTGACCTTGAAGCGCAGTACGGAAGTCATCACTAGCAGACCCAGCTGCGCTGGTAATGGCAGTCTCCCTGAATGGAGACCTCGAGACGAGCCAGGTCAATAATTAGAAACAAACCCCGCTCATGCCCTCAGTGGCGCTCCTGCATTCAACATATCGCCTTCAGTGCATAGATTCTCTCCCAATCGCTCCGATCAGGAGTTTGCTAACAACCCTGTGTTTCCGCATCAATAGTATCAACTAAGTCCTCCAATATGCGGCCATCTACTTAACCTCCCCGAAAAATCGGTGAAAAAAACCTTGGCAGCTAGAACTACTGTACGGCAAGTACGCGGTTCTTGCAGCTGATGATGATGATGGTGATGATCTTTACAAGACGGATATTGAAATCCGCCTTTTATCCTTTATGACGCCTGGGTGCTGTTTCAATCTTAGCCCTGTGTAACACTATTCTTCATGTTGCTTTTGAAGTTACAAGACACGTGTCGTCTTTAAGGGGTTCGAACAAGCTGAACAACATCAATTAGAATCTATAAAATAAACCTCTACCGATGGACGAGTTTTGAAACTTTTCCAGTGGTTACGCTTTACTCAGCGATGGGTTGTGCTCCTAACAAAGAGGTAACTTGTAACAGGTACAAAATCTTTGTATGTAGACAATACTTAATTACAGGTCGGAAATGTCACTCTTAGTAGTCGTTGCAAGAAAAAAACAGTAATTCTCTTGACTTTTATTGTTCTTCATTTAGTTATTTTATTCAGATTGGATTTATTAGCCGCCTGAAGGGTGATAACCTAAACCAAAAGCTTGTGGCTTCGAAGCATAACAAGGTAGCATAGGTTTGGATGTCCAAGCAGTTTCCTGTTAGTGAATCATCAAAAGTTGTATAGACAGGACAAAACTTAAACTGATGTGTACTTTTGATCAAAACTACTTTGTAGAACTCAATCTGTTTCTTACTGAAATTATTCATTTGATACCGAGTAACGTCGTTAGTTGCCGTAGTTAGTTGCTGCTGGAACCAAGGGGAGTAATGACAGAATGTTTTACATTAGCACACGATCACGGTTTAATATGAGGAATGAAGTTCACTTTGGGAAAGAAAAACGCAAGTTGGTTTTACGATATCGTCGCATCTTCTTTGGAAGTTACATGTTTTTGCTGCTTCGAGACCTCCGACTAATGAGAGTTGATTTTTCACATCAGTAGGGCCGATCACTGAGGCATACTCTAGGTTCAATATCACTAACAGGCGCACACTGTCCGCTGTCATTCTGCGATCTGGGACTAATATTTTGCTGTCGAAATGTTAAGCTAAATATTCTGGTGCAATGTATCACAAACTATTGGAACTCTCTGTCTCCCCTCTCACCACTTGCCGTAGCTAGATCACGTTAAATTAGCTCTTTGAAGGCTAGACCTGTTTCATTTTTTCATCGTTCCTCCGATTGATTTGATATTTCTAAATACGTAGTTTATCCACCCTTTTGTGTGTAGGACCATTTAGTTTGTTTTCTTCCGGGCACTTTGGCGTACGGAATACTCCACAACATGACTCGGGCACATCTGGAACTCGCCGAAAGTTTGATGCGCACGTGTTACGAGATGTACAGTCAAACCGCGACTCTCCTAAGTCCAGAGAATATTTTGTTCGACGTAAGCAACAAATCCACGAAAGATTTCTGGCCAGCAGTAAGTGAAAATTTAATTTTTTTGATAATTAAGTGGACCTGAAACTAACGGTATAAATTGATGACTGGAAAAACGTAATTGGTAGGCACATACAATTGTTTTAGGTAATTTTGTAAAATTTGCTATTACGGTTGTACTTCTCGGCTTATTCGTTTTTAACTCACTATTGATAAGGTTGACAGCCCACTCAGCGTTTCATTCTACTTATAGCTCACCAAGTGGGCCTATTCTTCGAGGTTCCGTTTATATGAGCGTCGATTTGCAAATATGTGTAATTTATCAGTCCTTACCAAGTTGCTCTCCATAATGGGAGGTACCTTTCGCACATAAAATTCTTCGGTCGGTATTCAGTTGTGCCTTTTCATTACACTGCATATAACCTTTAAGTTTTTTCTGAAATTCTTGCGATTATTTTGAATATTTTAGTCAAAAAATCCTGAATCCTCAGGTAGTGGTTGTTAATTCATAAAACATCTGCTTGAAATTCAGCTAAATACCTACAATGGTGTGGCTGGACCCCCAGAAGCCTCGGCTGACTAGATACTTTGTTTGCAGGGGCTCATCTAGTTAGTCAAAAAATCCTGCATCCTCAGGTAGTGGTTGTTAATTCATAAAACATCTGCTTGAAATTTAGCTAAATACCTACAATGGTGTGGCTGGACCCCCAGAAGCCTCGGCTGACTAGATACTTTGTTTGCAGGGGCTCATCTAGGAGGGTGGTAACCTGAAACTAACAATCAAAACGTCATTAATCTAATCCCATACGTTCGGTTATGATACGATTAGGAACCGAAATTTGCGTATTACCGCGGGCTGTGGGTTGTATTATGCTTTGTGTTATAAATATATGGAAAAATCCCAAGATCATGGTTTTGCAAATTTTTCATCCATCTAGAGGATCACGTAAAATACAGAAATAAGATTTGGCTCTCAACAGATTGTGAGCTCGTCCGCTAAAATTAGTCGCATGACCTATATGAAAAGGTTGCTATCTTTTGCGTTTGGCAGCTATTGTCATGTAGAGCACTATGGTGTATTCACTCTTGGACAATGCGCTTAATTTATATAACCATAAAATACCTTGTTTTCTCCTTAACTCCTAGAAAATATACTCTTCCACATCCAGTAGCGTAGCATTGTAAGAAAACTGGAAGCTGCCAGGTGCTCATCTCTCAGAAATACTCTAGTACTCTATTGGTAGAACTTAATGGGGTTCCCAGGGTGTTTTAGGTGTTAGGCTGAACATATTCACCATAAAGATATCTATGAGCAGAAGTCTAAAGGACAACCAAGCACAGCAACTAATGACAGACTGTCAGTTTCACTAACAGATAAAATACCTATGCGAGAAATTTCGTCTGTCCTCAGGGACTACGCGGAATCGCGTTGTCGTGATTTCTTAGTCTGAAATCAATCTATGCGTGTGACTTGGGGTTTATTATTTTTCTTTCGGCCTCTGACATCCCTGTCTCTAATTCCTGGGGTTCACCTGTCTTGCAACGCCTGAGGCACAAGTTACGAGCCGAAACAATGAAAGAAATGTCTTTTATTAAGTTCGCATTTTGCCCTTGAAGTTCGTGAGTAGTTGATGTACAGATCTCAGAGCAGATGTGGCGGCAACCTTTTTGCATGTGGGATATTTTTCCACCTACTTCAGTCGTACGTTGGATGTTATTTGATACTTGGTTGAACAAAATGCCATGGAGATCAATGGCGCTATTCGTGGCTAGTGACTGCCAACTTATTCCACGGGACTTTTTGTCAAGATTTTCTACGATCTAGCTGAAAGAAACTGCTTCTCAGCTGGTATCACTGTAAGCGCTATTATGACGGAAAAGTGCTTTGACCTCTATGCCCGATGATCCCGAGCGAACCGGTCTTCCTCTGTGTCATGTAGTAATAAAAGTAAAGATTCCAACAAAATAATGCTTTCTTAATTTCCTTCCGAAGGCAACTAAAAGAACCTTCAAAAATATCGTTATATTTTCAGTGAGCTGGTGGAAAATCTGGGCTCATCAGCTTTATACGACACATGAAACACTTGTAGTGTTTTGCATAACCCGGGGAGGACAACAACGTCATCTCAATAGAAACCTGGTTGCAAAAAATCAGGGTTGAAGGGTGACGCACATTTATTTTGGCCTGATACACAGAATCAGCAAAAAATGAAACCACGCTGAGCTAAATGTGGAGTAGGAACAGATTGTTGCTAACAAGGCTGGAAGTTAATGCACGTTTTCGGGGAATTTTTAGAACAAACCCTCTATAGTGGCCTCTGGTATGAATGTGTATTCAGCCAACTATCTACTTGGTACAAGGTACTTAACTGGCTTCGTTAGTAGCTAACAGAACATACAGTTGACGTCATCAGCGCTATGGAATTCGAGCACTAGTAGCGATGTCCAAACTTAAGCTTTCACCTAATGACGATAAATGATATAAGCGTACACTTCAAGAGCATCAATAGAGCAATGCCTCTGCGTTCATCCTGCGTCATTCCAAGATTCTCTCAAGATGTTCATTTCTCGAGGTTTAAATTTTGAGTCACACCACTTCAGTTTAATGCTTCCACTCGTCCAGGAAATCCCGCTGAGTACACAACATGTGTCTGAAATGAACTGAAACGCCTAAAAATTGTTCTAATTTTTCAGGCGTGAGTCTTATCCAGCGCCTATTTCCCGGCACTTAGATTATCTCTCAACCTAAATAATGTGGCCCACGAAAAACGGTGTATGGTTACCGACCGGTGGTTTTCCGACTCCTGAGCACATCCTCAGAATCTTGCACGTATTTCAGAGCTTATTCTAAGGAAAAGGGTTTTTCTTCCAACTGCTTTAATTTGTAGAAACGGCGTATGCATACAGTGCAAAACTGAGGCTCGAATTTTATTTCTCTATTCTACAGGCAGTAGGAAACAGCGGTTAGTTGCTTGCAGATTGCGCCACAAATCCTACGACAGGAATTAGGCTCAAAAATTAAGCCCAATTAAGCACAAAATTCGTGATTGTAAGCATAGTCAGCGTCCACCTGGAAATAGTCATAGAACGTAGCTGTCATTTTATCCCTTGGAAATATTTAGATGTGAAAAGGACACTGTGCAATCCGTTTTGGATTAGATCAAAAGGATTCAGGGGTGACTATAGCTTATTAGTTATGGCTGTACTATTTTCCACTGCAGTCTTGACAGCTGACGTTTCCTACAAAAAATTATGGATCGTTTTTTTATTTTATGCCTTAAATATTTTCCAAAATGTATCTTTGTCCCTCAAGTCTACCGAAAATATTCTTCGACCGGAAACAATGGAGTCCCTATATTATCTCTACACAATCACCAAGAACCCTAAGTACCAGCTGTGGGGCCGAACTATATTGGATGCTTTCGAGAGGTACTCCAAGTGGCACGCTGGAGGTTATACTGGTAAAGTTGATGTATCTACACCTGACTCAGAACGTATTGACAAGATGGAATCATTTTGGTTGGCTGAAACGCTTAAATACGCCTACCTGTTGTTTGACGAGGACGCTTCATCTCGATTTCCACTGAACAAATGGGTATTTAACACTGAGGCCCATCCTCTACCGGTTGTCTCCGATCCCAAGTCTCTCCTATCTGCTGTCTACGCTCAGCTAGGAGACGTTTAGGTAAAAACTGAAACACGTGGTTTTCTTCCTCTCTCTTTTGAATACCCTTTAGATTTTTTATCTTCCTCTGTCTTGAAGGGGTTCCACCAGACGGCTGATATTTTGCGCGTCCTCGTGCAAACGTTATAAACTGCTCTTGCGTAAACCGAAATCTACAGTGCTTAGCAATGAATGACACTCTACTTAAAAATATTTTCCTTTTGTTGTGGAATCTTTGACCGTAGTGATAAATGAGCTTCAGTCATTGGATTTATGAATGGCTTACTTAAATTTTTTATTTTTAGCCCTAATGCCTTGCTATTTCCTTTCAGTTTCTTAACACTCTCAGCAAATGCTTTCAGGTTAACCGATATTTTTGAAAGATGTGCCCCATTTCTGTGAAAATAGTTATACGTATTTTTGAGAGGCATTTTGTAACCTGCACCCTGCGCTTTCACATGCATGGCACTGAGAAACAAGCAATATTCCTTGATTCTGTTCTGAAGAGGATAGGACAACCTGTTAGGATATCCACTACTCTGTCGCACCGCGTCACTGTGCTTTCAACTGTGCGTTGAATCAGCAAATGTGGGTACAAACAGTCAGCTGAATAAAATTCCGTTTTACAACAATTGTCTTCTATCTATCTCTACTCTGGATTCTATACCTGGTTCTACACCATAGTGTCAGTGTTTCCTCGTCAATTGTTTCCAACTGGCCAAGCACAACCGAAACATCAGTAGACACAGGGAGTTGCTGCCTACCTCACTGGGTCAACTCCCTTCCAGACTAACCTAGAAGGCTTTCTCAGTGAAAGTTCAGAACAATCTTTTTAAAAACTCTTTGAATAATACATATATATAGGGAAACTTAATTTTTTCAAAGCCAGTTGCTACTTTTCTTCACAAAGAATCCCGGTTCAATAGATACTATGTTTCACACATCATGCATTTTTAGTCATCCATAATTCAATGTAGACGCTTTTTTGGCCCATCTTGTAAAACCTCAGCTGCATCTGCCTCGAGAGATGCCGGAGGCTTAATGTCTTGAATTGCTGCTGTGGAATACACACAAGAAATCATTCTATTTTTCTTATCACCTACAAACGGTTTGTTCTTGTCAGTAAAAGCATGCCTATCTACTTTGGAGCACAAAGAACAAGCTTGTGATACAGGAATTACGTTTTTTCCAGTAGGAATACTACATCGACTACATGGGTTCCAGTAGCTACGGCATCTGTTATCGAGGATAAGGAAAGTAAAGTAATGACAACCGTGATTTGGATGCGTTGATGAGTTCAGATCGTTGACTTAAAATGACTCTGAATGATACCAAGGACGTGAGTGGGTTACTGACTGAAGGCGATAGCTCTGATGCAGGATCCCCATTGGCGGAATGAAAAAGCCACACTTTTCAGGGTCACAACCCGTATCTATTTATACAAAAAATGAAATCACCAAGGTATCAAACTCATTTGAATTGCCCTTTTAAATCGTGCATAGGGTGCCATCGGTTTAAGGGCCTCAGCTTACACTTTCCTTTATCGATCCACGATTAAACAAGTCGTGCATTGCTATGCGGTTGTGCGAATAATGCAACTCCACGTAAGTCAGGTTTCTATCATCTGCTGTGCATGTGAGTACAAATCAGACGTACGGTCCAAAAAATACTAATTATCCGCTCTATTTTCGTTAATAGAAATCGTCTGTTAAACAGGAATTAACTAATCTGCATGAAGAAATTTCCAGCAACTTGCCAGAGAACAGGGACTGATGAGAGTGGGGTTGATTTTGTAACAGTTAAGATCGACTGGCCCTTAGCCTGGTTTGAATCATTTTATTTCACAGTCCCAACTTTAACACGAGAGCCAATGGACCAGCTAAAATAATCTTCCCAGAGATGGACTTTACCTTTATTAGATCAAGGTAATAAATCCTAGCGTTGACCGAATCAGAAAGAGTTCGTAGGACACTAATTCGTTATGAATATCAGCTTTCTGATAGCTGACGGCAGTTCACTTAAGAGGTAGACTTCATTGTATCCGTCTACAGTTGGACAACAGAAGGTTCTTAAGGTGTCATCTAAAACACATAAAAATAGCAAAAAACAGAATCCTCTACAAAGAAAGACAACAGTCAGTCGTATCGGCCAACTTGTTGTTTGAATTGGGCAATTTGGAAAACAATAGTAAGTAGTTCATACAATTATTTTCACACTACTTTGGTGTTACCAAGGGGCACTTTACGTCTCTTGTTTATAGTATTATTCAACTAAGTGTGCTGTATATGGATAATCTCGTTTTTCAGTTGATGTGATATCATGGTTACCACAGTATAACATTCTTACTAGAAGTAGTACTCCCAAACTTGCCAAAAACTCATCAGCAACCTTCGACAGATTTTTCTCTTCTTGAACTCATAAGTTAACCCTGACCCTAGGCTTCTGCAAAGCCACGAGTGGGTGCGTTTGGTCACTTCCATAAAATTTAGTGTCCAATTAGGACATAAGGATGGCAAAATTTTCAGGCCACGCTAGCCTGATTGACATCAAAAAGAACGAAGCTGCTCGTCGCATTCAAAGAGTTTCTACCTACTCCATAAAAAGTTTCTCACGTCAAGAAATTAGAGCACTTTTTGTGTTAATTGCAGACCCGTAATTCCACTGGAAAAGTGTTTTTCTGAGGAACCGGGCGAATGCTTTCAAACATGTGTTTAGTTCAGTGCTGAGTCAACTTCATCACCACCATTATCGGTTGTAAGAACCGCGTACTTGTCGTACAGTGATTGCAGCTGTCACAATTTCCTCCACCAATGAGTTGAAGAGGTGCAGTAAGTAGGTGTGCATCGGAGACGGTGCGTTTTGTAGGTCGACCTCCAACTTACTTGCAGCAAGTCACCGCGTACTGTCGTACAGTGATTGCAGCTGTCACAATTTCCTCCACCAATGAGTTGAAGAGGTGCAGTAAGTAGGTGTGCATCGGAGACGGTGCGTTTTGTAGGTCGACCTCCAACTTACTTGCAGCAAGTCGCTGGAGATATTACCTATCAACTTGAAAAATCTCGCCTATTGCCAGTGTGCTGTCTCAATTTCAGGTTTTACTACTCGGGACCTCGCTGTCTCTGCACTGTTAACAGCAAGACGGATTCAGGTGTCCCGATCCAGAAGCACATAGACAAAGTCACCAGAGGTGACCTACTGGAATGCCCTATGGCTTCCTAAAAGGGCAACATCAAACACAAAGTTCGCAGTTTACATTTGACCACATCTGGAAAAAACAATTTGGGCATGTGGTTATTGGCTCAAGCGGACCACTCTTCTTCTTCAAGAGCCATCTTCTTTTTGGCCCTCTTGACCTGCCTAAAACTTATCCTTCCCGTTGCCTGTGCTTTTTGGAAGGCTCTCAGATGATTGTACTCCAAATCTGTATCCCTTCCAGGATATTTTTTACCCTCCCTGACGTCAAAAACCTCATCAAACAGCAACACCTTTACTTTTGGCTCCACCTTTTTCGTCCCGAATATGCCGCTTATGAAACTACCCCTTGGAGGATAAAGTGGAAACATCAAGTCAGGTCCTTTTCATACAATGAGGCATCGCCCGCATTCATCGCATTTCAGCCACCTAATTCATGCGAATTCTCATTCATCGCTGTCATACCCTGTGGGCTTGATAATTTCGCATCAAGCCAGTGAGAACCAAGAAGTTTGCAACCGTCCTCTTGTCGAAGGGCCCTTTTCGCACAACCACACAAGGGATAGAGTTAAGCCAAAGTAGATTCAGCGACGACTTTGCGGCGAAGTATGAAGGTTATCACCAGCAAACCCGGCAGATGAAATCATTCTAGTCTTCCTGGATAGGGATCCCAGGTCGTGATACATCACAGGCTAGAGACATTTTCATGCATGGGCCAATCGTGCACTCAGTGGTGGGCACGCATCCAAGTTTTTGCGTTTAATGCATAGCTTCCCCTTCGAGGCTTCCTACTGAAAAGTCCACTGACATTTTTGAACTGACGCATCGCTTATATCAGATACAGCTATCTAACCGCACCTCTTCAAATCCTCAGTGAACGAAACTTTGAAAGCTGTAACCGCTGTATGGCAGGTAGGTCATTTTACAACTGATGATAATTAGGATTACGTTCTGACTAAATATGCTGCTAGGAACAACATATTTCATTTTCGCTGCTACAACCTTTTTTGGCAGTAGCAGAATTATCAGTGGACTTATTCGTTGGATCGCTTGCACAAAAGCTCACAAAGATTTATTGAATAGGGAATGAGACCTCGCATCCGAGGGAGAAAAGGCTGCCACAACTTTAAGGCAATCAGCCAGGTGGAAAATGATCAAAGATGTGCTTGTTCAAACGGTTCCTTAATAAACTATAAAGGGCGAAGTTTGACCATCCAACTAGTAACCTGCTTTATTTTGAATTTTACTGTGACGCGGTTGACGTAAATACAATGATCGATAGAACAGGAATACAAACAAAAAAACACATTGACGTGGCCAGTGTTCAAAATGACTTTCAGGAGGAATCGCAGCAACACGTGGTTACGAAAGAAATGTTTTTCATCGTTGTCACATAATTGATCGACCTTCCCCGGAAAAATTTTATGGATTTCCGGAGGAAGTCAGAATTGTAAATTAGAACTAGTTTTGGAGCTGATTAGATTGGCCTAGCACACGGCTCTTAGAATATCGGCTACCCAAATTGCTTCTTTACGTGCGTTGATCGCAGCTGTACATCTTCCGAGCGACGTTTATAGGGATTAGGTCTAATGATCTAATGGCCTACGTTGAAAGTTTGACAGGTTGTACTTGTATATTTCTTATTTCACACCCTAGATCACATGATAAATATTGAGTTTCAATCTAATTCCCCAAAGACATTATTCTCCTCGAAAGCTCGGACAAGTTAAGTGGGTGCTTTAATTGAATCAATGTCATTTACTGCGAGTGGCCCAATGGGGTCAGATTCCATTTCCACAAAATTAGGGAGGCTCACACAGTAGTGAGCAGTCCATTCGTCCTGTGAGCAAAATCAAGGCACTTAATATGTACTGTCTGTCTGTCATACAATAATGCGTTACCATTTACTTTTTAAAACAGACCTTAACTCCACCTTCTGCATGTCAGGAATAAGACACACTTTAGGGAATTCGAACAGCTTGGTGATACAATTCAGTCGTATTCAATTTAACAGTTTCGAGAACCGATATAAAAACCTTTTTGTTTTATACTGAATGAAAATTCTTTTGGCAAACCAAGCGCTATCTTCTCAGACTCAGCTGCCAAATGGCTAGAGCATTTACAAAATTTATCTGTTAGTTAAATAATCGCTATTTGATATAATTATCACCGTTGATTTTTCTTATTCATTTTATGTTGTTATTACTTGATATGCAGTTTGTTGCCGGCGTATCTCTAAAGGCTTCTCATATTGATAGAAGTTGAACGAAGAATTATGTGAAGTACGCTAAACAAAACTCACCAGCTCTACAATCCTCAACTCTCCGGTATTCATTTAATGTTTGATTTTCCACGATGATATTCGACCGACTTCCTCGAAGGTTTTCCTTTGCGCAACCATGTAAATGGTAGGACCGAGCCGGAAGAGGTCAAACAATGACTTGGCAGCAACCTCAGTTGCCATGGTCATTGACGTCTTACTGGATGAGTGCCCTAAGATGGGCTAAATCAATGTTTAGAGGCACTGTCAGACATGGTTCAGTTGCGTCCTCAGTGGCGTTCATGAATCCAAGCTATTTCTTTCAATGCACAGCTCTACTCCCAATCTCCCCATTTAACAGTCCACGGCTTACACACCGAATTCTCAGCTACTGCCTCCAATGCACAGCTACATGCCCGACCTTTTTCAAATCATCGGTGGACGGAATTGTGGCTGTAACTGCTTTAACCACTGTACGACGAGGACGCGGTTATTGCAGCTGATAATGTTGATGATGATGATCATTTTTCCAGATTCACCATTAAGATTTTCGTTGGATATATGGCCAGCATCAAAATGAAAATACTTTTTGACTTTAAAACGACTACCTCGTTTCGGTACTTTACGCTCTGTAACTTATAATGATTTAAACACACAAAATTTATCGCCAATTTTTCTGTCGTGGTACGTGAGCTACTAGTCATAAGTAGAATAATGACCTCAAAATTTTAGTTGCTACTATACCTTCCTCATTTTCGGTGGTATGCATATTTCCTAGGCAGTTCTTTCTATATTCATCAATTTCAGAAGTGACTTCCTTTAAAACTCGCTTAGGAGTCAATTTTTTCCCACATAAAACTTCGAAAAAATTCACTACAGAGTATACACAGTCTCGCTCCACGCAGTCTTTTGAGAAGGGGAGCATATGTAACTGAAAATTACAGTGTTACGCCGGCCTTATTTGCTAAACTAAACTATCTGGACAAATTTTTGACAACTTAAAGTCAAACAATCGAAACTTTTGAGATAATCACTGGTAGGCTATTTGGAAGTTAGAAAAAAAATACAATTTCTTGGAAGATGTCTGATATTATTTTGTCAACATGAACTCCGCCAAACGACCAAAAACAATTAACCCATGTTTGCATTTTAACGCTGACAGAGGAACAAATATGTATGTATCCCGGCAAATTCCTAAATAAACGTTAAAACTTTTCCAACGGAGAAACCACCATCGATAACTGACAATTCTGTTCCAAATACAGATAGGTTTTTAAAGGTTTCGTTCCCGGTTACTTGTAAGTAGTTTAGGCTATAAATACTGGTCATTCTCACTAAATATGACTTGAGAAAGTCAGGCCTATAACTGCATTAGGAACCATTCTTAGGTGCAATTCCACCGTTCGTCTTTTGGTTACTTACGTAACTGACAACGGCATTTTTTGTTTTGCGCAGCCAAAATGCTGCAACGCTTCAAAGGTATCTAGAAAAATCTTGGTATTTAACCACAGGGGAAACTATACTTCCATTCAGCAGCTGTTTCAGCGCTCCATTAAGGATAGCCTGCGTTTTTATCTTTTTGTAACATGTCACTAGACCAGTGGAAACTAGGTGACAGAATACCATACTACTGATGAGTCGTAATGATTACGAAAACCATCCCCTTAAATTGCAGCGGACAATATTGGAGGTCAACACGAACTATTGTTGTTCAGCAGAGTGTACTGAATTCAAGACAACAAGAAATTTTCATTTTCTAAAATCAGTTTGTTACCGGTCTCAGAAGACCTTATGGACAAGTCCCTCTTCGTATTGCCAATAATAACTATTATGGTGATCGGGTGTTAAACCTTTGACACTGTAGAAAACGTCAAATGTGTTTGGACAGGAAAGGCAAGGAAAACTTATGAGTACTGTTTCTAGTTCTCAGGTCCCCGAGCGATCATCCGGCCGGCTCTCCGCGAAGCTGGTCAGTCATCAACATCAGCAATTGATTTCAGAGCCTATTTGTATGTGAACACGAGATTTAACTAGCATAAAGCAAAAAATGGAGTAGATATAAGTTTTAATAAATGCGTCAACCAACATCACAAACCCAGTAGGTTTAAACTCCGAAATCATCCTCATTACATTTGCTTCTAAAGACCTCGAAGCCCTTCATCAATGTGGTAAAATTACCGTTGTCTAATACACAAGAGAATTTCTTCGAATATCTTCAGACAAATTCGAGAACAAAAGTGTGGGAAAAATGGTCATTCTAGAGATTAAGACGTTCGCCAAGTTAGTCCAGAATTTAAACTGACTTGAATCATTTGTCTTTGTTTCTGGTTTCCTGAAATTTTTGGATTTCTCCCGTTTTCTAACTCAAATTTTACTTCTTCGGCAATTTTTTGAATGTGGTTTACTCAGCCGTGTTTCCCCACCAAATGAAAACAAAGTAGACACCGACTGATGTGATTTCAGGAAGCAAAATAAACCGTGGAAGTTTATTTCTTTTCAACTTCAGAAATTCACTGTGATTATTAGGGATGCAGGCTAATGCGTGATCATAAATTGAAGATTAAAACCTAAAATTACTGGCTAGCTACAAAGCAGCTTTGCTATCTTAGTCTAACGGAAATTTCGTATATCCTATCGACCACAAATGGCACCACAGTCAATCTGACATAAAGATTTGGCCCACTACATTTATTGTTTTAGTCAACGACAAAATTACTGTGAAATACTTATGGCAGTACCAGATTTCCGAATTAATTTCGCGTGTTCTAGTTTGAACTCTTTATACGGATACGCCTTATCGATCGTGGCGTTCTGTCCAAAGGTAAGACCAGAGCTTAAACATTGTCACCTCATTGACCCCAAAATCGCTGCCCACCGTCTGATTTACAAATGATCTATCTTATTCACTCAAGTCGGGTATTTGTACCACTGTTTTTCAGTTGACAGTGAATCTCTTTGTTCAGCTATTGGTGTGATAAACAGTAGGTATACAGCCATTTCTTTTTGCCACTAAGTTTGTCAATCAATTTGTTTTGAAGGACTTCCTAAATGAAATAGCTTTTTTCCGCTCCAAAACACCCAAAGAACATAACAAATGGTGTTAAAAACGAATAAGCAGTTTGACAATATCCAGGGAAGCGAAAGCGGCCGGTTTTCTCACATAATTAGTCTATGCGATTTCCGTTACCTTCATTCAGCACGGACAGTATCACTGAGAACACCAGTTGTATAATTGTGTGACCTCAAATTCTAAATTAGTGAGCTCGAATTGGTCTGATGTCACAATTTGAATGCTAGATCTCAATGCTAGATCTTAAAAGTTACTTTTCCCGCTTAGTTTATGAGACAATACCTATCAGCCAACTCATCTGGCACAAATCAGTCCAACCTAACAATTGCGAAACAAAATAACGGCGGAGTTCAAATCCAGGTCATTTAATGCCATAAAAAAGATAGTTGCATTGCGCAAATTTCGGTTTTTCGAATTTCAGCAACCAGCGAGTTCAACACGGATTTGCTTTGTTTTTGGTTAAAAGGGTTGTTCCTGAACAGAACGGTCTGTTTTTGGTTTATACTTCCCACCTTTTTCATCCACCATCGGGTGTTATTTGCAGTGACATAATATTTATTGTTCGTTTTAGCATTGTGAAAACTAAATTACTCTGACAATACTGTAATGCACACCTTTACCTAATTTACTCCGTCTTTAAGGTAACACCACATATGTCAGTTCTGATATAAACAGATACATCGCCTTATTGGTTACAACCGATTGTGACGTGTATCTGTGGATCTAAGTTTGGTAATCGCCTGCATCAACGGTGTAAGTTAGTAATTAGTAGTCATTGCTCGACAGAAGTGTTCCTACAGCGGTTCTCCGATTAAATAGTCCACGTATAATGAAAATGCAGTTTTGGCCAGTAACATCAGTTATCTTTGCAAGCCGGAAGTGAAAATATTTTAAGGCCTATTGTGTTGTGCGTGAAAATCACGTTTTTCATACCTCTTGAAGACCCTGAATTTGTTTCCTTCATATCATCAAAAACGCCCCTTATTCGACGCATCAGTTCACTAGAATTAGGGTGTTCAAAAAGTATTACCAGCTTAGAGACCAAATAACCATTTGGTATTTACTGCTGCCTGTCTGTTTTAGTAGTTAATCACAAAATAAAGACAACTGTGAGGTTGCACTGTTTACTCATTTGCACGCGGCTACCAAACTGTTCGCTTAACAGAAAGACATTCGACGGACAGTTCACTAGAATTAGGGTGTTCAAAAAGTATTACCAGCTTAGAGACCAAATAACCATTTGGTATTTACTGCTGCCTGTCTGTTTTAGTAGTTAATCACAAAATAAAGACAACTGTGAGGTTGCACTGTTTACTCATTTGCACGCGGCTACCAAACTGTTCGCTTAACAGAAAGACGAAAACAATAAATCCGCTCAAAATGTCAGCAATGATCGCAGGTAAAAATTTCAATTTTTATCCCCACACATATGTAATCATGGTCCGGTATTTTTGTATATACAATGGAAACTTTGACTCTTATACAGGCCGTCAGTTCAATCTTCCGTCTCTTTAGTGTAACATGTAATCTAGAACAAAAGAGGGATCACGCAGCAAAATACATTGGATTTTGATATTTCTGAAACATACAGTTCATGTGCAGTGAACATGGATGAGTAAAATTTGTGTGCCACTCGTTCAAAAATGGAAAATAGAAGTTGATGCATTCTATGGGGACAGGTTGCTTCCTCGGACTGTTCACATCATGCTAATCGTGGCATGGACCTGGCTTCTTCTCAACGACAGGTTGCTGCCTCAGTTGGTCAGACAGCCACTCTATTGCGGTTTTCAAGCCTTCTCCTGTGTGTCCATTACAGGCGATGATATTCCAGGGTTTGTGACGAATTTTGGTGAGCTCCAAAATTTCGGCAATTTCGCTCTCTGGCCGTGAGCCTTCTAAATCCTTTTTATTTGCTAGGAACAAGATAGGAATGGTTCTTTTGATTATCGAACGGTGTTGAAGCATCTGTTCCAGTTCATCTTGTGCAACAACTAACCGAAGGTGATCGGCGCTATCAATCACATAAATTATGGCGTCACAGTCCTGATAGTAATGCTCCCACATTGTACGGTACCGGCTCTGACCAGACATATCAAAGCAATGGAAAATGAAGGAACCCACAGCAATTTTTTCAACGTTGAATCCAACTGTGGGTGCAACATGGGAAATTTTGTTTTCTTTCGACTTCAGTTTATTTAGGATTGTTGTTTTGCCACTGTTGTCCAGGCCAATAATGAGTATCCTCATTTCAGGCCTATAAAGACCGAGTACTCGCACAAGAAATTTAAATAATCCCATATTTATTCCGTGTGCATTTCAGGGTCTTTTTTCCATTATATGCATACTGTGGGACCGTATGGTTCAGGAGGCAGATTCTTCACAGTGCTCTGTAAATTGGAAAGAGAAAACGTCTATATGCTCGGACATGGCGGAAAGCAAATGTTTGAACAAGGATGTCCAGTTATTGGCAAGGACAGAATTGTCGGTCACATCGCCTAATTTTATTAAATGCAAATCGATATAAGAATTACCGGCATATCTTCAGGCACACACGATGACACCATGTGGAGTTATTCCTCGATATATGCATATTTAAGGCATCGTTTTTATGCATGGCATAGCTCATACATCTGTAAAACCATAACAGCAACAACAAATCCCTGTTTCAACAAAACAATACAGCAAGCAGTTTACACTTAGGATCATCTATGTTTAAATGTTATACTACAACAAAAACAGTCTTTGGGTGCGGGAACTACGGAAAAAGCGTTTGAAAGCTTCCAGACACAAAAGTTTAAACCCTATTTGCATTGAATTTTGATGGAGCCAGCATTGCCAGGTTTTCTCCTGAATGCGCCAAGTTTTTACTTGAATGTTTAACATTGATAAACATATCAGCCTTCAGTCAGCACTACAAGCCACTGCACCAGTATATTCTACATCACCGCTCTCACCGTGACCAATCCAGGCCATTTTACTGTGTTTTTTTCACGGCATCAAAAAATAAAAACTTTCCGTGTTTGCTATTTTCATATTGCCCGACGGTGCTCTATTTTGCAGATACTTTGCAGACTTTATGTATATTCGGAAGTAAGGAACACGCGCAATAAGTTAAACAAAGTTGAACTATCGACATCACAAAACCAACCCATTGCAGTCAATTTTGTTCACACATTACATTTTGTATGAGCATTAGCTTCGAACGAATAAGGTTATATCTGAAATCTATAAATCTACAGAAGTAAGTAGCCGCAGATTTATCCTTATCATTTCACTAACCGAAGTGTAAACACAAACAATGTCTGGGCAATTGTGATGCCTAATTTTTTTTACTTTACTTTATCTCCAACCACAAATTTCTGGAGAGGAAAAATCAGATTACGCTTGTGTCTCTGCCTGGTTAAATTTCTACGATATTCAAAATTGACATTGTTACCAAACAGCTGTTACCTTCAGCCGAATCTGACGGATCTTATAATAAATGAGATGGAACACAGTTTAATATCCTCCTTTTATCAGCAGTATCGATTTGAAATTCTGCCACTTGTCAGCTGTAAAGGTTTTTCAGTACAATATAATTAAATATTTCAACGATGTTATCCTGAACCCGTCGAACAACTACAAAAACTAAAGAATAAGCTGTCTGACAACGTGGCTAGTTAAGTCGTCTTCCTAAGGTCAGATAAGTACAGACTTGAGCTAAGCAGATTTCGCTTTATACGACAGTGTACTGCTCACAGATTTACTCCATGTCCAAAAGAGAATGCTGCTACAGGCTCTGGCATTATTCTCTTAGAATATGAGGGGAATTTCATGAATCTCTCCATCCCATTAACTTTATAATTTGAAGGACTTGACGTCGCATAAAGGTGTAGTGCTGAATCGGTTTTTAACTACTTTTTTATTCAGAATTCAGGTGCATACTGCGGAAACGCTTGCAGTTTTGAACCTCAAAAAGGGATTTTTGTCCTCAGTTTTCCTAAATGGACTCATCGAGTATGTACCAAAAATAGTGTGGCAGACGCCAATGTGTGAAAAGAGTAAAACTAATCTTCAATTATGCCAAAAGTAAAGCCTCTTAGACAGCGAAAAAGCACAAACTTTTGAAGACATGTCACTTCTAAAGGTCCATTATTTCGTTTAAAACATCGTCGAATTTTTAGATGTCATTGGATAAAATGTATTACGACCTTATCCTTGCCTATGACTGCAGTTTTATTCATCCTGTGGCCTAAATCTCATGAACAGCGCAGCAACACCCAGTTATCGTGACACATGCTTAGATATAGCATACCGTTAGTAAAACTGAGCTTGAAGTTGGAACAAATTTTTGCAGTTAGTCTTGTTTGGCATCAGATGTGATCCGAAAATGGAAGGTATAACAAACGTCGCTGTGCAATCTATGAACTTAGTTATGATATCTTATAATATCCCACAGTGTTTGAAAGCATTTTTGGCCTTCTCCACACTCCTGAATACTTGTCACCGGACCAGTAAATTCATTTTCTGAGTCAAATGTACTTACAAATTTCGGACTAACAGTAGAAAATGCACAGAACATGCAGAGTCACATGGTGCAAAAATTAAAAGGACCATTTGAGATTATTTTAGATAGATCATTAAAGTTTTTGATCATGTTAGCGTTTTTAAACAGGATAAATGTAAGGTTAATTTTTCAAAGTGCAAAAAGTCCTGTGCCTTTGAGATTTAGCAAACTATGTGACATGAGACAGTTCTCAAACCGCCTCCTAAGAAGCATGGCCTGGAGATTTATGTAAGCTTGAAGAATGTCAAACTTTTGACATTTACAACAATACCAGTACATTTGGATTGCATTAAACTTTGAATACATTAGGATGATTATCATACACTGTTTGTAGAAATAGGAGAAAAGAAATAGCCTTGCAGTTCTCAATGATGACACCTAACCGTTTGTGCATTGGTGCTACGCTTTTGGTCTGATTTGAACCCAACAAACATGGTCACTAGGCCTGTTGAGAGCTTTGTTTTAAGAACCAAAAGTTACCATGTAATACTTTTAACAATTTTTTTGAATTTCCTAAAACGGTTGCTCCTTGAATGGTTGCAATATTTTTCTTTCAAACTGAAGTACAACGTTTATTTTTTTCGGATCATAAATTAACTTGTGGCTATTAGTCGTGAATGTGCCACTTTATGAAAATATTTAAATGAATTCTATCTTAGCCCTTGTGGTATTCCCAGCCGACTTTTATGTGATAGTTTTATTTGCATTTAGTTGATTAAGCTTATCAATTTGTCGAATTATAGGTAACTCGGGTGTGTTATCTGATGGTTGGTCAGATGGCAATTGATCTGTTTGCCGAGTTTGTTTGGTGTGAGATTTGCGCACCACGGAATAAATCATTACCTGAAGCATTACGACACCTAGTGAAAGGTTCATCTAATTTTCCGACCAACACTCGGTGTCTGCACTGCGATAATCTGGCAATTTCGCCTACCCAGTTGTGGCGCAAAATAACCAACCGCTGTGTAGTCATGACTAAATTTTTCTTAGTCGTCGATCCTCCACAGAGTGCTCCGCGTCATTTAAAACTGTGGGAATAATAGCTGAGAAATTTGTTCAGCTTCAGCGGTCATAGTTCCTGTTAGAATCTGATGAACGACTTCGATACAAACCAAAAAACACTCCTGGCCAATAACATGGACACAGAATATGGGTTGTAGTTTGTCACCACTTGCTTCATTGTGCAAATAAAATAATAATAATAAATAGTAAATATTTGGATGACAAATAAATCGTGATAAAATCTCACGGATGATATAACAGGCACCTTCATTTGACGGCACAACCAAGACAGCTGCTAGAAAGCCATTCGTGGTATTCCGTCGCTTTGATACATTTAAAAATTTTAACCCGTTTGGTCGTAACAATTCAAATGTGGCTTATGTGTGCTAGTCACATGCTTGACCTCTGGATTGCAGAACCTGATACGGAAAAGGAAATACACTACATTTGAGACCCAACAAAAATAACCCGTAGTTTAATACTCCCGCCCTTTGGCATTAACGCACTGGAGTAATTTTGCCGGGATAGAATAGATGCTTTTCATGTGTGAGTGATATAAAAACAAGTTATGATGTAGATTTCTACGCAAATACTTTGTTTTATGTTTTACGCCTATCTTGTTGGGTTGAACTGGGTGAGAAAGACGTTTATGATTGCGCTGTAATTAATATTCAAGGCAAGCAAGTCCCGAGTGACAACCACCAGGCTGATAAATACTGAAGAACAGATTACTAAAAGAGGAACAATATTTGGTTGCAAATCGGACACATCAGGCTCTCTAAGGAAAAACCGTTGGACGCCATCGCTCCTTGCCACTCGGTCAAATTGGTGCAGAAAACTCGTTGCCCTGTTAAACATGCCACATAAACCTTGTGTAATTTTCATCACTCACTTGCAGTTGGCATCGCACTTAACGTAGAAACATATTAGCCTAAGCTTGACACTGTGGCTGCTTTCATGTAAAATTTTACTTGACTGACAAAAAACAACCGACTGCCGATAAACAACTGCTACAGAAACAGCTTGAGCCTGACGTTTAGAACACCAGTCTGCTTACAGCTGCAGTATTACGCGAGTAATTTAGTATTCGAAACACGTGAACAGAATAAACATTATAGTTCAGCAATATTAAGTTGCACCCATTTTTAAATAAGTAAAAAAATACATTGCTTTGCAAACAAACTTAAACGGTTCTTCAGCAGAACAATTTGGCAAGACAAGCAAAGTTATATAATTTATATTGCACCAATCGTAGCTCAGTAGTGAATTAAAAATCACACAAATCTTAAAGATGACTGAACACAATCGGACCGCTCAATATTATGTGGCTAGTTAGTGTTGAAAAGAATAATATTTTAGGATATTTTTGGCACAATACCTATCACCGATTAATGGCACTCATGCACTGATTACACTAAGTTGGATATTGAAATACTGTACAAAACTTTAGAACCCTTTATTACTAGAATTTTTGCCTTCTACACAGGTACAGAACAAAAACATGAATTCTCAGGGCAATACAGGATAAATTCAGTTCAATATTTGGTACACCGCAAGGCTGCTCTAAATATACCATTTACTTGTGAATTTTGAGTTTCTGCCTGATTTCTTTAGAGGGCATACTTTATTGCAATATCTCCAGGAAAACTTATCCCACTAAAATCCATGAGTTACCTGTCTGGAGTCAAAATGGATTGGCTTAGAGACAGGCGTTGCCATATAACATCTGGACATCAAATATCTAATTGGA